TTATAAATAAATATTTTTAAGTTAGGCCCTCATTCATAATTATTTTCAAATTTGGGCCCCGATATGTAATTTCCCCTTTATTTTATTATTTATATTGTTTCATTTTTCGTTATTTTCTTTACCTTTATTTCTTTGTTTATTTTTATTTATTATTTATTTATCATTATTTATTTTATTTATTTAAATTTTTTTTATTATTTATATTGTTTCATTTTTCGTTATTTTCTTTTTTGTTTATTTTTATAAAGTTCCAATCTGGTTAGCGTTTATCCGGATAATTATCAGATATCCAGATCTGAATTTATTTGGATATCTATTTACTATCCATTTACTATTGATATCCGGATAATTATCCAAATATCTGTCAGATTATCCGGATATCAATAGTAAACGGATATCCGAATAAATCAAATATGGATAAATGGATGACGGATTTATCCGGATTAGAACTCTATGTTTTTATTTATTTTTATTATTTATTTTTATTATTTATTTTTATTATTTATTTATTTATTTTATTTATTTATTTATTTTTTTTATGTTTTTATTTATTTTTATTATTTATTTATTTATTTTTTTATTATTTTTATTTTTTTTTATTTAACTTTTTTTCATTTAATTTATATTCTAATTTATTATTATTATATATGATGATAATGTATGTGCCATCACAGGTTTTTAGACCGTACGCAATCTATTTAGTTTGTTAAGAAATATGTCCGGTGTTAGTTCAGAGTCAGTCGGTCAATCGTTTCGCAGCTCAGCCAATTTCGAGTATCCAACAAACGGATTCAGGTCGAAAGAGACGTGTTGGATTTGGCGAGTGGTTATTGTGTTAGGTTGATGATCGAATATAGTTTACAGTTATGTTGCATGTTACTTAGGGATACTTTATGTTGAGCAAACCGGGCATTATCATTTACAAAGGATCAAAAGGCCTTTATTTATAATCTGTACGTTTGTGTGAAATGTGCTTGTTATGCTAACCATACTATTTATATTACCTATACTATTTATGCTATCTATGCGTCTGGATACACCTCATATTACCCATCCACCCGATCGTTCATATTCGTCACATTCGTAACGAATGCGACAGGGAACCCAAATTTGGTAACAGATCTTCATACCGGGTACAACTTAGACCAGGGTTAGTCACATTTCCGGGTCTCACATTGGCACAAAATATAATGGAAAGCTGATTACAGGTTTTCACATGACGGCACTCATATGGGGTAGCTATGAAAATAGCGTTCCGATGTTTTTTACTGTTGTTTATTTATCGGGTTAAACAATTGATTATTTGATAGTTAGTAAAAATTATCGGTACACTATTTTCATTGACCACTTCTCATATTATCAAAATAACCAGTCAAACCTCGTTTGGGGAACAATAGTTAGGGCCAAAAATTAGTGGGTATATCAAGGTTGTGACTATATCAAGAGTAACAAAACAGAGATAGGTTTTATTAATCTCACTTATTTTTGTGACACGATAAATTAATACGACATTATGTAATTTTTATTCAATTAGGTTATTCAAATTCAAATTATTATTAATATAATAAGTATTTGTGATATCGTTATAGGAGTTAAACAAGCAAAATTAATATTTGATAGATTCAATAGAACTGCTATATAAAATTGTGGTTATAATTGAGAAAAACCCGTCATTTACATGTATCACTTGTCAGGTATCAAATCAAATTTGGTCAAATGAAAGGGTTGCTTCATTAAATGGAGAAGATGAATGAGTAAGTCCGAAGATCTTTTTTTAAAGTAAAATATCTTATATTTATCTTTTGATCATAAAATGTTTTTTTATACTTTTATGTAAGCAATCTGCGACAATGTTTATCGTTATACCATTACACAGACGACCAAGTTAATGAAATAATTAAAAGTCCGAGGATCTATATCAGATCTCTGAAACAAGTGGAACAATAAATTCAAAATTAAAATTTGCTAACAGGGGAACAATAAAAATGCTTTGTTTCTTATTTTGAAATGAAGCAATTTTATTGGTTTCGCATACTGGATTTTAGACCTATGGGAAAATTAATAGCAACCAATCATAATTTTTTTTAAAAAAAGAATGCTAAATAATGACTTATAAGGTTATTAGGTGACTAGTGTTATGCTTTAATATTTAGAAAATTACAATAAAAAATTTATTACTTTACCGTATTTTTCTTGTAGATGCCACAAATGCCACATAAAGTAAGTCTTGAAAATTGTACACCTTAGATTTATTGAAGCAATAATTACTAATTGGTATTGTTAAAATTTTCTCGGTCTTAGTGACAATGGAGAAAAATTAATTTAAAAGATGGCTTCTATGTTACTTTTAATGCCCCTTTTCTGACATAGCCTTCAAATTGTTTTTCTTTTCTATAAAAAATTTATTGATTTAGCAAGTGTGAAGAGTACTTTTGGTTTATAAGCATCCTATATATTCTTGCCTTATTGCACCATGGGCCCCGTTTTTATTTGCTTTATGATCTTTATGAAGTTCTTTACGGCAAACGCTGCAAATACTTATGCTGTTGATGCATCAATTACCCAATCAGTCTCTTCTTGGGCATGTGCTAAAAACGAAATTTTTGGCAGAGCAATTATTGAGTGTTACGTGTAAGATTAATATTTATCACCTGATTTTATATCCCTGTTCAGTCATACTTACTCTTATGCCTTTCTATTACACTTTAATTCTAGCGAAGACTGCAGCAGTCCCGGCGGTGCTGTCTCCTCCTACTGTCTCTCCAATTATAACAACGCTCTAGCTGCTGGCTACAAGTATATTGATTTATATGCCTTTCCTTGCACAGGCTACACTAGCTGCAAATCACCTACGACACAAGTCAATGAACTAGTTAACTTTGTAAGTAGCAATCACATGGTAGTACAGACCATCTGGCTTGACTTTGAAAAGTCATCAGCTTGTACCTCTAACTGGAACCTCGGATCGGCAGGTAATATTGCCTTAGCAAAACAATTCACAAATGCTACCAAAGCAACCGGGTTGAACTGGGTTTGTATTTTTCTTATATAGTGAATATAAAGTCATTATTTAATTTAATTATTATTCTATTGAATTCTTTTTTAGGGTATCTATTCATCAAATGGTAATTGGAAGAACCTCTTCGGTAGCGCAGATGCCATCGTTGACAGTAGCTTTAAGGTTTGGTACGCGGTAAGTTCTAAACTTCTTATAGAATTGGCTGGATCTTATTATTATTACATTGGTGGATTAATACTATTAAATTTCAGAACTTTGATAATCAAGACAACTACAATGATTGGTCTAGTGGAAACGCTTTTGGTGGGTTCATAAGCCCTTCTGGAAAGGTAATTGCGTTTTCTTAATAAATATCATCCTCAATTATGTTACTATCTTTATAGCTTACGTGTTATACTTCTTTAGCAATATTCTAATGGAAGTGGTAAATGCGGTTCTTTTGATTTGAGCGTTTTCACTTACAGCACCGGGGCTCCACAATAAAATAGCATTATCTAACATTATTACACACATTGTAATTCATTATGATTATTTAACAAAGGACGTATATTTATAAGAATACAAATTTTGTTAACATTAAATTTCCATATTTGTCATAAACATCTATAATAATGAAATTATGAGTCACTTAGGGCTCCGCATAGGGATCGGCTCGGCTATAAACGACTACGATCAAATATAAACAAATTAACAAATTTTGAAATGGGATTTTTTTATGTCATTAATTAAAGTTATTCAGAAGTAAATTTTAGCCATAGTTACTTACAAGGTTAATTAAAAACACTTTCTCTAAAATTCATAATTCATCATCGGTCACGCGGTCAGTCAAGTCGTTCCAAACGATGATGAATTTTAAGATTCTGGATTTAGAGAATGTATTTTGAATTTATTTTATAAGTAACATTTACCTCTGAACAACTTTAATTAATGATTTATTTAAAAAAATCATTTCAAAATTTGGCAATTTGCTTATAATGATCGTAGCCGTTGTGGCCGAACCCGCATGGGCCGGGCTGAATATTTCGAAATCCAGATCCAGCCCATATTTAATTGGATAGATCCAAGCCCACCCATGACCACATGATACAATCCATGATCCAAGTAGTATAAACTGTAAACAGCTTATTTTTAAATTAAGTCGGGTTCGTAATTTTGGCATTGTAAACAATGATATTTATAATTTTGGCCATTCAGATTAACTATGGACTGTCCATGGATCTGGACTAAATTATAATTTTTGGACTAAGCCTGGCCCATATTGGACCAATCTGTGGATGTTTCACGGATAGTCCAGCCCATGCTAAACCCTAATCTCAAGCATGAACCCATGAGCCCATCATCGCCAAAATTACATTGTTAAAATCTCGAACTCACTAATGTTAAAATCACGGTCTTAAAATCATGAAACCACTCACTGTCGAAATATCAAAGTCACGAATTTCATCATTGAAATTGTAAATTTACACTGCCGAATTCAGGGATGGCATGTCATAATATTGACATTTGGACAATGTCCAATTTGTTAAAATAATTTGATTGGACATATAAGTAATATTACTGTGATCGTTAAGAGATTTTAAGAGTAGAATGTATACAAATTACTTTTCATAGTAATCATATGGTCGATCATTTTACAATAGCATATCAATTGAATCTATATGTTATTTATATTGTACTACCTAAGAAAATCTTGTATTACCTAAGAAAATTTACTATTAAAAAATCAAGTGATCATGTGATACCCTCTACCCTTAAAAACCTTCGTCCAATAAGATGCACCGTATAACCATGCACTTCGTGAAATTTTCAAAATCACACTGTTCCTGATACAGTCGGTTTGCATGCAGGTGGGACAATGATATACAGTACAAGCTGTATACTATCCCTCTAAAATTAGAATTTTGTGTTACAAAAAATGTGTCACGAGAAAAACTGTGCTTAATATCAACGCCAATCAGCTTTAAGATTTTGGGTACGATTTATTCTTCAATAAAACCTTCCGCTCACGTTCCTGGTACTTACATACCAGTTGCGCACATTCGTACGCCAACTCGAAAGATCTTAACTATCACGATATTTAGATGTTCAATTGTACCCATAAAACTAAACCATTACAATATTTACTATCAAAAAGAAAGTCATTAAACAATTTATTTCGAATAAGCTATTCTTTACTATATATTATATAATACTCTATCAAATTTATTTGCTTTAATTCACTAGCAAGTAAAAAAACAATAATATTTAATTAAATATTCAATAGTTGCCCTATTTTAAACTCATTGTTTTAGAAGCTCAAATGCTTGTATTGAATTAACTTTTCATTTTTTTTATATAAAAATATTTGTTTTCTAATGCCTGGGTGTTGAAATAATTCTAAATCAAATCATATTTTGAAAATGATATTTGCAATTACAATTATCGTTCTTTGTGTTAATTTATTATGTTTTAATACTGGATTGTTTTAATAACTATATTAGGTATATACATAAAATGGTGACTATAAATATTACCACAACTAAAACCATTTATTATTATTACAAAATAATTGCTAAGACTAATACATCTAACTTATCTCAATACATTATGAATATTTAAATCAAAACCAAAATGTAAACTACAAAACATCTAAAGTATACAACTGGTTATTATGTTTATGGATTTAAAACTTTACTATCATTTTCTAGATATCAACTGGTTGTGTTAAAGGTTATTTGGTTTGTTATTAGTATTTTTAAATGGGTTTACTTGACCATTAACTATATATAGGTTATGCCTTTACGGAATTATCATAGAGGCAAAAATTAATTCTTACCGATTTTACTAAAAGGATTTTAAAAAAAATGTCTTATGTAGATCTTTATTGTAAATACACTTCAGAAATTGTATTGCACTTTTTCTATATATATGAGAGTACTGTATATACAGTATATTCGGCCATTCATACTATTATACAATACAGCTTGAGCTCGTGTGCTTTAGCATCTATAATTTATTAGTAATCAATAATTCAAATGTAGTGTTTTATGGCTTAATTTATTTGATTGACTTTGTGCCTCAAATAGAAATTAAAAAAACAGATATTTTTAAATATCTAAAATTAAATTACCATAGTCATTATTAAATAAAAAACAATCTAAAATAGTAATTAATAGAATAATCATCCTTTATTAAATTCTTCTCTTTACTCCGGATATTTGCCATACTCATCCAATTTTGCATTTGTACTAATCCATATAAAGTAAACTTGCTATTCTATCACGAAAATTAAGCGGAGTTGGTAAAATATAAAAGCGGAATATTTTCGTATTTGTAGCTATATTCTTTTCGCATCACTTTTGACATTGACAAGAAAAGAAATGTCGAAAGAGAAGGGAAAATTCAAGTTCACCTATGATTGGTTTAAATACTTCATTCCTGATTGGGAAAATTGCCTATCTCATCTTAAAAACAAAAAAATCAATGTTCTGGAAATTGGTGCTTTTGAAGGAAGGTCAACTACTTGGATTCTAGACGAGTTGTTCAATAATCCTGAATCAAAATTGATATCAATCGATCCCTTTGAAGACAAATTTTTAGATGTCAAAAATTATGAAGCAACATTTCATGAAAATGTTAAAATGACGGGCAAAGAGAAACAAAGCGAAGTTATGAAGAGTTTATCTTCAGATGCACTTATTAAATTAAATTATGAGTCAAAGGTTAAATTTGATTTTATTTTTATTGATGGATCACATACTGCTAATGATGTATTAGTGGATTCCGTTTTGGCCTGGAATCTCTTAAAGGAAGATGGAATTATGATTTTTGATGATTATGAATTAGAACGGTATGAAGAAGAATATAATAATGCAAAAATAGCAATCGATTCATTTCTTAAATGTAATGAACCGCAAATAGAAGTAATTCATAAAGGCTTTCAAGTTATTATTAAGAAAATTAACAAAGAAAAAAGTCAAAAAGAAAGAGAAGATTTTTTAGAGCGAATTAAACGGGTTTTTTGGGACTAATTAAAGATTAATTAACGATAATGTAGTTAATCATGATTAGGATTTCTTTAAAATATTACATATAAGAGTTTTATTGTATTTATGATTTAATCAAATCTTGATATGAATTATGTTGTTAATAAATTATAATTTACTGTGGTCTATACAATACAAAACTACAATGTTATTGGTTTGTTTAGTGGTATTTGTTATCACATAATAAATTATATAATAAAAGATGTAACAACCAATGAACAAATCAAATTACAGTCTATATATCAATGATCTTAAGAGATTAAAATCATCTGTAAGTACAACATTCTAAGTAATAAAGTACCGTTGTAACGAAAATATAATAAACTTTCTCTTCGTTGAAACAATATTTATTTTACTTATGCCACTTTAAACATTCGTTGCATTTTTTTTTATTAATAATTTTCCTTTGCCAACTAATTTGTCTATATTTACTGCTTTACTGGCAACAATGTCCTGCAGTTATGATATAATCAGCATTCCATTCTTTACATCTCTTGCAAAGAAACAAACTGAAAAATAAATAGATTATGGAGGTCTTGGTTATATAAACTAACCACTTAATCATACTATATTATTTTCCGTATCGTATAAGCAGAAATATGAGGTAATTCTCCAATAAGCTGGGTTTATAGGGCTCCAGAAAAGTGGAATTTACTTGAATATCACTCGTAGTGGTAAATAAGAGTGTTGTTCTTCGTTTAATGTGATGATATATGGCGGGTTTGTTGACTCATATAACTTTCAATATTTTTTTTTTGTCATACTGAATAAAAGGTTTAAAGCAATCTTCACCTTTAATAAAATGATCACCCTCAATTTTGTATTGTCGCACAAACTAAAAATTAATTTAGCCCTAAATAACTCTTGTGTTCTATTATGTGACTAAATGAGTTTTAAGACCTTCGTATTGCGAAGATTGAGAATTTTTTAAAAATAGAACTATCGTACAAACTAAGAAATTTATTTTTCAAATTTGGTATAAAATTTACGTGCATCTAGGGGCTGGATTTTGGTTTAAATTTGAAAAATATAGTGAGTACTTAGAAGGTTTTACGACAGATACCCAGATTTAATATTGAGAAAACAATTTATTGATGCAGAAAAACTTTCAAATGCATCAATTCAATCCTTAAAAATGGATCTATACGCATTTCCATTAAAGACTTGAATAAAAATTTAATTTGAATACTTTAAAGTAGGACTTGACCCATCTTGTTAACTGAATTAATAATCTGTTTTGATGGTTATCAATAATTTCAAATTGAAATCGATAAATATGGGCCACTGTAAACTATTATTATTATTTGTTAATCCGGTTTTAAATATATACAAGTATTTGAACTGTCTATCCCAATAATCTAGATTACTGTATAAATCTAGGAACAAGATATCTAAGCAGAGATTAGAATCAAAAATAAAGTTAAATAGACTTTCATATATCATAGTAAAAGAGAATAGCTATAAATTGATAATTTAATAATTTTGATTCCATTTTACTAAACGCCGACAGAATATCTATAGAATAATTTGTTAATAGGATACTTCTCAACATAAAATGTCTTGGACAGCTCTTTTTTGGCATACTATATTTTCAAGCATGACATATTTCCAGCCAGATCTTTCTCTAAAACAATGTTTTTTTTTGAATGCATCTCTAATATAAATAATTATAATTTAAATTACTTTACCGAAACTTAAATATCTTAATATACAGTAACTGCATGCGTAGTATCGACGTAGTAATTACATAATTATTACTATGTCTTTTAAAAATAAATAAAAATTGGATTATATAATAAATTTACTTTAGCATTAAATTAAATATTTTAATAGCAAATACAATTAGTTATATGTCCATAATTATTTAAAAAATAAAATAATATTTTGAAAGATAATTAAATAATAAAAATTTATTAAATTTATTAATAAGAAACTGAATCTACTTTTTAATTTCTATAAAAAAATTATAATTTTTTAATTTTATTAAGATAGTTAATTTTAATAATATATAGAATAATTTAAATATAAAAATTCATATACTGTATAAATATTATCAAAATTTATTAATAGCAAAATTCTTTATTTTAATATTTTAATATTATTTAATTTATATTCATACATCATAAACTATTAGCATTAACATATTCTAATTTTTTTAATACTAAATATAAATCGAAAAGTAACGCATCACACTTCTTGTGTTGGATTACGCAGCATTATTTAAGTCGAAGGTAGCTTTTATTAGAGCAATTAAACTGGAGCTTAGTACATGATAGCAAAGGAGCGTGTGATCGGCTGATATTAGCCAGAATGACAATGACATTTCGAGAAGTTTGCAACAACCACTGCACTGGGAGCCACTGTATGATTGATCAGCTGGTGGTTTCCCGCCTGCTGGTGAAAGTCGGTTGTGAGAAGCGAAACGGGTGAGAAATACAAAATATATAAGTAGAAAAATATGAGAGTAAATTAATGATATACTGTAATTGGATGAGTTGGGTGGGTAGAAAAGAAGTCTAATTAATCGGGTTTGACGCCAGGGAATTCAATATTCAGTTCTGTAGCTTAATTAGCTTCATGCTTCCTTTTTGCTTCGATTGTTTGAGGCTTGCATTGTTTATGCTCTAGTACATATGAAACTACATTGCTTACATATATTTTCCCTTTCAGTTAGCTTCTTATCGCGATATTGGCATTTCTGCGGTTCATGGCGCAGGTGTGCTGCTTTATTTTCTATCATGTAACTTGCAATCACTTCGCATTTTACAACTAAATTCAAAATAAGTTAACAATCTTTTAATACCAGGAACGTAGTACGAAGTATGGTTTACAGGCAACTATCTGTGTGCAAAATCTTGCATACTATTGGATAGCATGTTCACATGTTCAAATTGATATTTGTACTTTTTCGGGTAGCGTTTAATCGTTAGGAAGGTCATACATTGTTGGATTCTGCCCAATAAAACGAAGACAGACTGAATTAGTAAGTTGATTTAGATATGTTTTGATTGATATAAAGAGGGCTAAGGTTAACAATTAGGTGGCCGGATTTTGTATTGCCGGTAATTTCTAAATTAAGGTTAGATTTTCATATTCGT